CGGTCCTGGGGTGGCACTTGGGTGGGGAATCCACTGGCAAAATTTCGGCGCCGGAGCTTGCTTGGGGGCCGAGTTGAAATATCCGGACAGACGCACACACACACATACACACACAGACACACCGGGGTCGTCACAATATGCGTTTTTGCATTTGCATATATGCAAAAACACATAAAAACGACCGCGCTTCCTGCAAAAAAAAGCAGTAATCATGCACCGGGACGTCCGTGCGACTCTATGATGCGCCACCTTCATCCCAACTGACGCCCTTCCTCCTGCATTCCGGAAAGCATCAAAGCACGGCTAATATGAGCCCAAGTGTTAGGCTACAACGTAGGGATCATTCCTGCTAATAGCAATCTACGAGTTTAGTGCAAAAACGCGTGATCGCACCGCGGAGCCTGGTGCGTTCCAGCCTGGGTTCCTTTTTGTATAATGAGTTGCTTGGTGGATGATCATTATCCCGTTTATGTGCCTTGTTTTATCCAATGACAGTCTTTTTCTAAACAGCATTTTGTCTCTAAACTGAAATTCAAGACTTTCAACTGATTACCGAGAAGGGATTAAGGCAGTTTCTGCTGTATTCCGTATAATACTTGCCGAAGTCAGTTGCAGTTCATAACGTGATCATCAAACTATGAAGTTTGCAACTTTTCCAGTTGCTATGACCAATGCTGCATCGCCTAGCGATTAGCCCTCTAGTGATTCTGAGTGCGTTTTTCATCTCCTGAGGGAATACCAGCTCAAAAGGTCTTCCGAAATGTGAAAATTTTTTGGGCGTCTATAGATTTAAATCCATTTATTATGTACGCTTGCATTTCACCTAGGAACCCATCGGAGGGTTTAGACCATTTCTATAGTCACTAGTATTTATTAATTGATAGTTTTGATGGACATACTTTTGATAAGTTGAGTGATTGCTCTCAGTTTTTACATGCCATGTTTAGAAAGAGTTCAGTCACTTGTTGGTCATTTTTTATTGCATAAATTCGCACTCTTCGATACACTATTTTAATCCAAACTTTTATATCGAAAAAATGCAGATTTTTAGGCACAAAGTGAAATACATTATTTACATCGAAAAAAATGTGAAACACAGGCATTGGAGAAGTTGAAATCCACTTCGCATTCACTCCCTGTGAGAAGGTTAAGCATTTATAAGTAGTGGGTGGCGCATGCCATCCAATACAAAAAATAATGAAATAACTCGTATTTTTAAATCAACAATTAAAACGAAAAGAAAACATGCGAAACATCTTTTTATCGGAAAATGCAGCCAAAAAAACATTAGTATTTTAAAATGAGACTTCGCAATATAAAATACAAATAAAGCTGCAGTCAGAACATACTGACCAAATGCAGGTTGGTCGAGCGCAGGCCCAAACGATGCAGTTATGTCGGGGTCTTCGATTTTGAGATCGGGGATCAGAATCGAACAAAACACGCTGTTTGTACTAGACTCTTCGGTCATAAGCTGCATCCTATCAAAATGATGACCCCTTCTTGATAAGGCAGTACCAATTTCACTTTTGTCACATTCGCCCACTGTGAGCCCACAATAACTTGCTGAGAAACCACACGTTTGTACTATTTCTGTGCACTACTCTCTGTTTACATTATATTGACTTGTTTTTTCAAAAGGTGATGATGCATGGGCTTTGAGTTGAAATCAGTCCTGAATTTTGGGGAGCTGCGACTCACAGATGAATGACTGCTCCTCTTGTATGTAGTAGGAACGAAGAAATGAATAAGCAGAAATGAAGTGTGAGATGCAACAAAGAGCAGATGAACTGAAATGTTTCTGAGCGCTTTAGTTTCTTCCACTCTTCACAAACAGTCGCTCATATTCTGATGTTGGGCACTTAGATTGGCTGCACAGGAATTTTTTCTTTCCCAAACCGATAAAAAAATTTTTTAAATCATCACGAATAGCGCGGCTAGCGGAGGTAGCTCTATAAATTTTTTAGACGCGGCAAGGAACTAGTGGAAATAACCTTCCGTCACCAATACCCGGTCTCTCTGAACTAAAGTATGGCGAAAGATAACCATGCAACTTAAGCGCTTATCAGGAAAAGTGGCAGAAAGATGAAGCAAAGGACTGAGGAATGTGGAAGAAAAAGCTTGCACCGAAATTATATCCGTTGAAAATCTGCTCGGAATCGTAATTAAAAGAAAAAATTTGTATATTTAACTGCAAGGAATACCAGTACTGCCTGAATGATGTGTTAGTGATGCCACTGTTATTTCCTTCACATACCTGATGCGACTGTGCTAGGCCCTTCGATCCTGAACTGCATACCTACAATTAGTGTTCCTCCTGTTCAGTACATGTGCGTGAACTCATCCGCCCAAGCGTTCGTTCCTCGACGCTACTAATTGCTTGTACACAACATCTGTTTGTTGTCAGTAAGGCGAACGATTTATACCCTACCCATAGGATTTTGATTCCGTATGTCTTAATGACAAACTGCATGCCGCACATTAGATGGGGATTGTGATTTTCTGGTGCGTTCACGAAATGACATGTCAAGCACCCTCGTTCCATCGAACCCTTCACTGCATCAGTAAACTTAAATTATTTAGAATTTAAGAATATTGTTTTTCTCAGTCTGATTATTTGCACTTAAAACATTCGCTTTTAAAGATAAAATTTGTTAAGCTTTTCCGGGATGAATTTTGCGATGGATTATGATCGGGCTGGCAGACAGACAACTCTTAAAGATTAAAAATTATCAATGGAAGTTTTTCGACTGAAAAAATTAAGACGGAGGCACAATCGCTTTGCTAACTTCACCTCGTTTTCGTGTATACCTGCAAAATGTGCAAAATCATTCAAATTTAGCAAAACTGAAACTCGCTACTGACTAAACTTGCAACAGCCGGACAATCAGGACTGCCCGAACAGCTGCTGTAATGATTAATGGTGGTATACTTATCCAACCCATCGGAACTATGCCTCAAGCTATTTTATCCAGACAAATTTTTTATTTTCATTTAGAATGTTAAAATAATTAGCTTTCAAATAATGCATATGCTTTTATACAGCGTCTTGAACAGCGACTCTTTGCACAGTGCGCAGTTCTTTTACAAGCACAGAGTAAAAACAAAGAACAAGTTTAAAAAGAGTTAAATTTCGAGCTCTTAATTACCAAACTTATCATTAAGAATTGATTTTACCCTTATCAAGATATCCGCTGAGCCGGCTTTTTAGGAGTCGAAACAGACTTCAAGAACACCAGCGAACTGATTTACAGACGATACAAAACTGGTAAAGAGGACTGGAAAGTGTAGCAGTTGCATAGATGTGAAACCACATCATGAATTTCAGCTAATCAAAATATTTACAGTAATTACCAGCTTTATTGTTGTTCTTTGAAAATTGGTTTTTTCTAGAAATAAAATTTAAAAAAAAAACTTGAATTTTCTAGAAACATCTGGGCAAAGTTACTTCAACAGATAGTGAGGAAGCTTTGGAACAAGTAGATGCTTTCGAAGAATTTTCCATTTTGGATTCCTTTCCGGAGCAGTTGGGGACTCCAAGTTTTTCTTCCAGTACGGTAATTCTCCTAAGTGCTTTCTTCAGTGCTTTCTTCAGTGCATCGTTTTCTTCTTCACATGTGATAACTCGCCTTTCCAGTATAGCAACAATGATGAAATAGAGGTCAACAGTGTTCAGCTCTCCCAGCGAGACTGCTTTCATCGGTTTACTTTTTTCTGGGTTGTCGATGTTGTTAATGAGGCGCTGCAGCTGTGAATTACCATCCTTCGACACCTTGAGAAGTTGACGCAAATACTACCGCATGTTATTTTCAATAACTCAAAACTTAAGCCACCAGTCCCTTGTGTGCTCCCGTCCCCTGCCTTGGTTGCCGATCATACCATCTGCAAATTTCTTCTCTCATTCCTTTGCTATCCCCACTTTCTTCGTAATTCATTTCTAACAGGCACTTTCATGTGGTAAGTGTAATGACACTACAACCTCAGATATTAGTGAGTCACAGAAGCGTCTCCTGATGCCGATGATGGCATCTTTCAAGGATATCTTGGGAAGCAAATTGACGTTTTTGGGCTCTCTAACAAGCTGGGAGCAGCAGTATAAGTTAGTGCAAAATTATTTATGCAAAATCATTTATATGATAGCTTACCTGTGTTGAAAGTTTTTCCAGCATTGTTTTGATATTGTGCATATAGTCAACTTCGGATCCCGATGAATTAGTGGAAGATGTAAACGAGCCGCTGAAGGGTCGCTTTGGTACCAGCTTTGCTTGATCGTGAGGCATCACGTCCGGGGAAAGTAAACGTCTTGAAGGTAAAAGTCGAAGTTTTATAGATGATCAACTGCAGGCGGTTCAACGGAACTAAGATCTGCTAATTAGCTTCAGATTAAGGAGAAAACAATAATTATATTGTTGAGAAGCAGAAGCTTTTAAGAAGCTTTTCAGAAGCCAAAGGGTGATCCCAGTAAAAAGTGCAGCGAATCAGCAGCTGGTTCACCTGAGCCTCGGATTACTAGTCAAAGCAAAAGCATAGCAAGCAGTCTGCAAGCTTCTTGGAACAGAACAGAGCAAGAGAGAACGCTCTCCTCAAAACTTGCCTCAGTTTTCACCAACATATCCTTTACTTTTCCCATCTGCCAGTAATGCACAGAGCGAAAAAAGACAGAATGGTGAACTGGGCACCTTCAACGAACATTAAAACCCACCTCACCAACGTTATCAACTATTATTATCATCACCGTGGTGATTATTTATATGTTTATTACTATCGCAATTATTATCCTATCACTATTATTGTAACTGTCACCACTGTTATTTATTATTGTTACTATTAATATGCGGCTATTAATACTGTCTTTTCAGCAAGTGTTTTTGAGATGATATATATTAGGAATTACGGAGTCACAGTGGCTGGAAGCAAGTAAAAGGGAAAACGTATTTTTATTATGGAAGATTTAGAAAAGTAATCGGAGCAGCGTAGGCCACAAGCCTATACATAAGTGGGCAGAAGAATATGTAGGAAGCCGACTCGAGTACAAAGGGGCCTGAAGAAGATGCGGAAGAAGCAAAGCCGCGGACCGAACCAAGTCGTAGATCCAAGACGAAGAATCAAACTGAGAGCCAAACCGAGCTGAGAACCTAGAATGAGAGAAACAGGGTTTTTACAGTACAGTAGGGACTATCCCTAAGAGAAAGCGCCCAGCCCATTTACACCTCTGTGTTCAGCCGCTCCAGCTGGCACAATACACTCGTTAGTTATTCATGAAACATATCTGCGCACTGACTTTTTGTACAAAACTGAAGTAGAAATAACGTGGAGTATAGGGGTGGCTTACGGTAAGGACAGGAAGAAAGCTAAAGGGGGGCGAAAGTGAAAATTTACATATTATTTTATTTAAAAAAGAATAGAAAGGTATTCACAAAATATTTACATTACATTTAATAATATTTTATGTTTTTTTTGCAGCTACGCAATGCAGAAAATGCATATTGGCAAGGGGCTGTCTGTGTGTATGCGTCTGTGTGTGCGTCTGTCAGGTTTTCCATCTCAAGACCTACAAAAGCTACAGGGCTGAAAATTTGGGAACTTAGTCTAGATGAACGTACGGGCCTCAATCCCCCAAATGGGCGCTCTACCCGCGTAGTGCCCACGTACGGGCCCCTGAAAGTTTTTTGCGGGTAAGTCGCTAAGTCGAGGACCAGAAAATCAAGAGAGCTGAAATTTTAAGGGGATGTTCCCCGTTCATGTAAGTCTCAATGAGCTCAGACCCAGACTCCGGGTATGCGTGGTACCCACGTATGGGCCAGCCAAAATTTTCGTCGGGTAAGTTGCTAACTCGAGGATTCGAAAAGCTAAAAGACTATAATTTTAAGGCTGAGCAGGCGATGCAGCCTTGGCTAAAGCAACTATTATAATTGTAATATTATAATAATATTACTGTTATTATTAATTGTACTGTGTTTGGAAAAACAAAGGGTATTTCTGCGTGAAACTTATTATGACGACATCAACTGATTCACTTGCTGGTCCCACTTATTCTCGCTCGAACTGCCCTCCCAGATACAATAACGACTCGCGGGCTGCCACAGTGCTAACTTCAATAGTTTCATATATGCTATATAGATGAGATCTAAAAAGCGTCGCATTTGATTGTAGAGATATCGCTGAAGTTTTACAAGAACTCAGTAACATGAAGATTTTCAAATATTTTTTAAAATACCTTCTATATGAGCCTATAACAACAAGCACAACTGTATTTAGTCATACGAAAGAGTACCCTTATCTTCCTACTTACTTTCGCCATTCTAATCATCGTCTTGAAGATAAAATTAATTGAGGTCCTGAAAAGGAATTTATGCAACTTAATAGGTTTATGCCGTTCTCGTCTTCCTTATGTATCGTATAAACTCCTCATTCTCTTCCTTTGAGAACTAATCTGCAGTTATTAGTAATTAAAGTTTAAATTTTATCAGTACTCTGATAGCTACTGAGCCGGTACATGGGAGTACTGCAGTACCCTCAGTACTCACACTGATCGTCCGAACGATTTTGATAAAAAATAGTAGTTTGACAAAATTTTCATTGCCCCTTCCCTTCATTTCTCACATCTCACAGTTTTCAGTTAGAATTTAAGGCGTAAAAATCAATAGGGATTATGAAGCTGTAATTGATCGGCAAGACACATCTCATCTCAAATTGATAAATGATATTCTCAAAGATAAAAAGTGCGCCAACTTATTGCTCTTATCAATGACCAATAAAAGTAATAAATGCTTCTAACAAGCCAGTAGTACTGAATACAATTCACAGAGCAACATGAGCCGATGTATCTTCAAAACAGCCGTCCCTACAAAGTTTCAAACCCCAATTTTCACCATGAAAAATTGTAGAAAGCCTTCACCCGTGAGTCACAATGTTACTTTTTAGTCAGAAGAATTCAAAAGTTTTCAAATTTGTGCAATTTCAAAAATTATTTTCCGATTCTCCCACGAAACCCCGACTCAGGCATCTCATTGTGACGTGGGTGTGGCAACAAATGAAGCAATGTCGAGGCATGCCGAAAGAATCTGTAATGTGTTTTTCTGGCTAAGCTTGAATGTCAGCCTGACCAGCAACTGTGATGCAGCCAAGGTCAAGTAGATGTACACGCAAAAGTGAAAATATGAACTATGCAAAGCGTTGTGAGGAACAATGTGGATAAAGAGAAGTAGACTTCAATACCTCGCACTTGGCTTGTGCAAGAATCAAACTGAGGAATTTTTTAGCTACTGCAAACAAGACCTCCCAACCCGCCTTCACCTATTTCAGCACTAATTACATCAAAGGAACTGACAAACTTATTAACCTAGAAACAAAAACTCTTTGATCGTCTGGATATACACAATAAGCATCGACAGGATAAGTAATCCATTCTTAGCTATATGTGGCTTGTCATCTGAACAATCAGCTGATCCAATCGATCGTTCACATCCTCGCGGAATTTCTGCAATATTATGAGGAAGGCAAAAACAAAACTATCTAAAAGGGATATGTAATTGATTTGTTCCGTAATCCGAAATGATACTTGGTGAGCTTGCAATCCTTTCAGGAGGTAAAATGAACATTAAGGATCGGCTGCAGCTAGTAGACTGAACACCAGGCGATATGTAATATTTAGATACGACAGACCTTTCAGCAAATCTATGTTTAATTATGCTTCATTTCTTAATACTTTGGATAAGGAATGTTCAGACTTTTAATCAATAAATCAAATTCCATGTAACTGTATTATTTCCCAATTCATTTATAAACCATGAACTCATATTATTACATCGGAAATTAAGATCACTTCTAGCAAAATACTTCAAAGTATTCTTGAACATGGAAGTAAATTTCGAATTCGGCATAATCATGCTCCTTCTAAATCATGAACAATTTTTCTTTGATTTTCCAAAGTTTTGTTGATTACTTAATCAGCACCATAGGTTTACCAATACATGGTGTGTTGGGATATAGAAATAAAACTGTTATCAATTTTGAAAACTTTTAATAGCTTTTTATTACAATAATAATATTCATAATTCATTTGATAATAAAAGTCTTTTTATTGAGAATATACCAAAATTACATCATCATTACACTTGTGGATAAAGCTGCTAACAATTAAGCCTTTGCCTGTAAAAGACGCTACATAAGAATACTTTCTTCAGACTTAGGAATCAGCTACAGTCTTAACAAAACTGACTTTGGGAATACTACTTAACAAATAACAACAGAAACTTGCAGTAATATCATTGTACATCATATTAATATACAATCGTTCTTATATTAGACGAAAATAATAAGGTACTTCCTCTTCTTTATGCAATTCCAACGTTAAATAAAACCCCACATAAATTTCGTTTTATCGCGGCTGCTACATACTCAGATGTGAAACCTTTATCACAACTACTTCATCATACCTTACAATTCTTTCATAATCATTCTGTAAATTACTGCAACGTTATCTATAATAAAACGAGACGTAGCACTTTTTTTAATATAATCAATTTTTACATGACTATTGACTTCATTAAGACATGTTACAACCCAAAGAAATTTAATCACTGCTAATTTTTCTACATTATTTAAAAAACTTTCACATGGTATAATTTATAGCTGCTTAAAATTTCTATATGAGCCATGTTTCAAAAACTCCAGACGAGATTACTTAGCTGTAGATTATAAAAACATTTCTTATGCAGACTGTACATCACAATTAAAACGATACAATTTATACTCCTGGCGAGATATATTCCATGATTTATTCGGTTGTCAGTGAATCTTATGTTCGCTGCTTAGGTAGAATATATTTGAGCAAATAAAAAGAGCAGCTGTGAGAGGCAATGCTCGTCCAGACATCGCTGATTTAACTTAAGCCATCTTAAAATACAAACATTCCACGATTACCTACGTGTCGACACATTGATGATTTGCTTTTTATAGATACAGATTTTTTTTACCACCACAATTTCTATTTATGGTAAAAAATTGGAATTAGAACTGACAATGGCAACGCTGTAAACTTTTTGAACATAACCTCTTACCTTTCTAATCAGAGAGTTATAAATACAACTCTTTATAATAATATTAATCAGTAAATAGGTGCACTTATTTTGATACTAACATTCATATTAATACAAACTATAATATTTTACACAGTCATTTGCTTCGCTTCCTGCGAATTGAATCTAGTTCAGTTGGTTTTTTTAAACAATACAACAATTTTATTGCAAATTTATAAAAATCGCGGTTTCCAACATTA